TTTTTATAGATGACGTAATATGGTTTATTCAGTTTCTCAAATTAATACAGTCAATAATTTTGTTTTATTTATGATATGGCTTTTATTTTTAATACCCATTTATTCTTATTATTGATATAGATTAACGATTAAAAAATATGCATAACTACATATTACATTATGTTTTATTAATATGTATCCACAAGAAATACTACTGTTCTAAAGAATTTTTTTCGATATTGCAGATTCTATAGATTATTATTTGAATTATATTAAAGATCTTTTACGATTTGCATAGCTTTTTTGATTTAAGTTATGTTTAATTTCAATTTAAATGATCAATTTTTACATGAATTTCAATGTTTTCCTAAACGTCACTTGACACTTTTTATCACACGATCACGTTATAAGTTATCAAGTAAAATGTTTTTCTGGTGTTGAAACATAATATTAGTTGTAATAATTAGAAGTAAATTACGTAAATGACAGTTAAATAATATTAATATGCGTATTAAATTCATGAATTTCACAAATACGTACAATGATGCGTATTACTTAATTTTTTAAAGATGATAATAAAATTTCAAATATTCTTTCTTAAAAAAAATACATGCTACAACATATAACACAGATAGTTAAGTGTATTCTATATCATTACAACTGATATTACACATGGAATTTTGTCAAAAACATATTACTCATGCTTAAGTTTTTCTTTGTGAAATTAAAATTATTATGTAATATGGTTAAATTTAATAAAAGAAAGATAAACAGTGTTAACAAATATGTTTAAATCTGATGATTTATGATAAGCCAGCGTGGTATGATATAATAAATAGTGACTCCATATTTTGTTCACGATTATGTTTCATAATATTTTATTTTCTAAAATATAAAGCGAATATGTATTGTAAAAGGTTGGAATAATCATTATTCATAAAATATGAACCATCATAAGTATATAAATTTGATGAAATAAAAATTAAATTGTTTCCCAAAGTGTACTTTATACAGTAAAATGGCTATATTAAATACACTGTAAAATGTATTAAATATATGTTAAAATATTAAATACAAACCGAATTGACGTTTTCGGTTAAGAAGGTTTTTCTTATGTTTATCACTTTTTTTTTTTTGTAAAAAAAATAAATACATTTCACATAATATTATGATACAGATTTTTATTCGATTTAAAAATACTTATTATACTATCATATTAAATAAAATTGCAATCTTTAGAAAACTATATTTAATGGATACATCTTTACATCTATATAAAGTATTAAACAATCATTATTACATTGCTATTTTACGATTTTTATGAATATTATTACAGTCATTATATTATACACATTTGGTTTCTCTGTATATTTATTACTTTCTGCTTTTTTTTTTTTTTAACTTTTTGTTTATACATAATTATATTAATCATTTAATTTATTACTATGATATTACACGTGATAAATTTATGATTATTTGTAATATGATGTATGTAGCGATATATTTAATACCCATGGTCGCGAGTTTTTCTCAGTGAGGCCCATCATTTCTTTTTAAACAAATATAATTAAATAAACGAATAATCGGTAAGTTTACGTAAAATAATTCTAGAAATAATTTGTACTATATCTCAAGGAGAATGACGTTAGTCTGTTCTGTATTATTTACTATTTAATACGTCGTTCGTTGAACTCGGTTGACGATGATCATGCGGTAGCCATTGATTGACGTCAACATAACGTACATTTTAAGTAATTTAAGTTTTATTCCGCACTGTTGAACCATACACACTCACGATACCCACCTCTTTAACTCTTGTTGTCCTCAACACAAAAACATAGTACTGCACAAAAATTTTTAGATTTAAAGGTCTACATGATACTTTAATATTCAAATATTTTAAAATTGTCCATTAATGTCAGTGAATTCAACAGTAAAATATTATTCGCGTCTGTAAAAACATTACTAAACGGGCGCACATACAAACAGCCATTATTATTATTACTACCACTAAAAGAGTTTCGTGGCATTGCGTGACGATGCTTTTATTTACCAAGTACAAAATAATCTTTTCCGCTCATGAATATTATTATATGAACATAATATGTTATATACTACATCGTATAGTGCTTTGTGGGCGAGACTTGCGCCTATTTTTTTGTGCACCCGTCTGAATTTGGAATCATAATAATAATAACAATAATAATAATATTCAACATATTTTATTGTGGCACCTACGTCAAATAATAACATGCATCATAATCGTGAGAGCTACAATGAATTCAAAAAATATTATGATTTGTATCTGTAGTGTAAAAACGAGATAACCGGAAAACGCATTTTCTGACCATGGCCTCTGCATTAATTTATTACTATTAACACATCGTCCGAATAATAATATATAATTATTCGAAGGGTTAGCCCGTAGACTGCCAAGGCGAAACAAGGCGGCGACCCGTATAGGCAATTTAGCTACGTCCGTGCTTTGAATACCCGATAACAAACCTGCATTCTTACGGCCAGTGTGCATATATTATTATTATTATTGTTATATTATTATCTTATACTGCAAACAGTAAATGCGGTACGGAGCGTGAACTTCAAAAACCAGAACATAATAAAAGCAATTGGAGACGAAAACTTTATCCAAAAGTTCAGTTCGTCCCATTTCTCGGGGACTGTAGACCGAATGTCACTCGTTATTTATATAATATTATTTGATACGCAATTCACAAATGATCCCGACATGAATGCGGTTTATCCAACACTATATGCAAGTACTCATAAATCGTTATCTTTATTGTTGATATTATTATTATTATTATTATAACACATTTAGACTAGTGAATGATCGAAATACATTTGTATATATTATATAATCTCAATGTTGGTCGTCTATAACTGCCATAAATGTTTGATATTTTCTTCCGAAATACCATACTATCAGTATGACTACTGTATTAATCACAAAAATCCAGAAATCTTAGGTCTAATCTTTATCTTAGGAAATCTAATCTAGGATGCGGATATTAAAATTATTTTTATTACAATATCATCATAATTATTGTATATCATACATACTGTGTGACACGAAATTAAATTACAAAAAAATTGCATTCAATCGTGACCTCCAAACGAATTTTGCATTACGCGTATAGTCGTATACAATTTAGTTAACATAGTTAGTTCATAAGTATATTAATCACTCATCACTCATGTGAATATTTTAATTTAATTTTATTAAAAAAATACCAACTCAAGCAGCCACTAATATTACTGCTGTTTAGGTACATAATATATACTCCGAGTTATAGGTAACAGGAAACTGTTTGGCAATGCATTGAACGCAACATCGGAATTTTAAATTTTAAATATAATATAATATAATTGTATGCTTGTACAAAAAAACAATACCCACCCAGATGAAAAATGTTGAAATTCTTTGAGAGATAACAGTTGAGGAATTGTATTTAAAGTTTGTCAATAACTCAAAACGCTTTGTATAGGACTATATTTTTACAGCGTTAAAGCGTAAAATGAGACGAGGAAAATTTTAAATTTCTAATTTTGCGAATGAAAGCACATTATACGTATTCTCTAAATGAAGTCTTTTTTTGAGGTCAAGGTTAAGGGTACAAAAACGCAGTTTTCAAACTGTGAATTTGTCTTGAACGTGTATGCAATACAAATATCGATTTCAATATACCCTTTCAACATACTCAAGCATACATATATTGAAATTGCATTATGGGATATCGGAATTTTGATGACGTGTTGTTTGTAGTGAAAGAAAATCTTGGTAAAGCATGCGTGAAGTTTATCAAACCAGAACCATCTCATTAAAATTATTAAATAGGAAGCTGTTATTCGCATTACAGCTGCGTATTATAATATAACATCTATGCAATCATTAAATTTAAATTTCAGTTTTAATTTCGGTAGGTTTATTTACTACGTTCCAATGTAAATATATCATTGCAGGTTCAATCAACAAACTGGAGATACAAATATATATTAATACGATACTTTATAATATAAAATATCTATACTATCGTTTTATTCCTTAAAAACATACAGAGAAATAAAAAAATAAAATATACCCTGGAGATATTAAAAACGACGCGTAATTTACTCTGAAAAAGTTGATGTAAAATCTATTAATTTAAGTGTTTATTTATTTTTTTTTTTTGCGTCAATTTTTCATATTGCCATATTATTTTTGTACTAGGATAACAGAATAAAAATAGTAGGCTTAGTTGGTTTCAGAAATTTACAGCTTGGACGAACATTTCTTTTATCTGGATTTTCTTGTATTAACCACTATTGAAAAATATGTTTGTTAATTGCGATCTTTGTAATTAAAATAAAACAAAAAAATAATGTTTATGAAAAAAAAAAAAAAAAAAAAAATTATTAATTATGTAATAAGTCTGCTTTAGTATAGATGTTGAGTGCCATTGAGTAACTATTTTAATGAATGTGCTAAATTTAATGCTATGTATTTTTACTACATATAATGGAAAGTGAAAATGATATAAATTTGGTACCCAAAGTTATTAAACAATTATTTTAAATGTAATATTAAAATTGTATCCATATTTCAATATACTTTGATTATTTTGAAAATTATTAAGTTTAATTAATGTTGATCTATATAAAGTACCGATTAAATCTTATCGTCTATCAGAAACGTCTCTCAAAGTTGATAATTAAAACTTTTTTTTTTTTTTTTTTTTTTTAAAAAAAACAAGAAAAGCAAAAAAAAACACATACATCATTTACAAATCAATACACTTTTTGTTCTACTGAGAATTTAAAAAAAATAACTATTCAAATAAAAAGGAGTTTGTATAAATAAATAAGAAGGATTAATAATTTTCTTGGACACAGAAAATAATATTAACAAAATAAATATCTTTCTCCTAAACTGAGTTGAAGTAAATAATATACATTCAATAAATTGTATGTTATAACATTATGTGTGGTTATCTATAGCTATTTTAACACTTGTGGTTTTACAGAATGGCGTTTAGGATTGGTCATATGTAAACTTGTGCCGTACTTTCAAGGGGTGTCCGTGAATGCATCGATAAACACGTTGATGGCCATCTCCGTGGAAAGATGTTTGTCCATTTGTTACCCCATGAACCCTGTGGGCAAAGGCGTCTGTAAACGGGTTGTGGCCATAATATGGATCATTTCGCTCACTATCACTATGCCGTGGGCTATTTATTTCGACCTGCAGCCAATGGAGGAAGGCAGCGATAATCAGGTGACCATTTTACGAATATTGGTTTTTGTTATTTTAATAATCTTGTCATATTTTTTTAAAGCATATTAATAAAATATATGGAAAACAATTTATTCGATTACATAAAAATTAAAAACAAAAAAATACTCTTGGAAAATTTTTATTATAATACATATTTATTGCCAGTTGATAGTAAAATTTTACGTATATATTTCAAGAAAAAAAAAATCAAAAAAAATCATAGAGTTAGTGAGAATGGTATCGTCACGATAACTATTTATTTTTATCGTCTCGCAAATTATTTATTTGTATATCTACACATGCCTCATATTATTTTATTACTATATATTAGTGACAAACATTTTTTAAGCGTTCACAAGTAATATGCCGTTAGTATGACTAGTATTAGTGACTTTTAAAACCTTTTAATACCTACATACAATCATGACAGAAGACAGTTATAATACGTATCATATATACTGTCATGTTAATATTTTGAAATATTATAAGATATTATACACCACCCGACTTGCACGCTCTACACTAATGCATTTAAATTTTTTTTTTTTTTGTTGTTGTTGCTGATGTCGAAGCATTGGCCTAGCCGGTACAGCTGTTAAACGTCCCGTCTTATACTTTACGTTCATAATCTCGCAGACTTATTTTTCCAGTCTTACAAATACGTATATTATTCATTATGATTTATATCATAGCAGACTAATATAAATCGCTGGAATGTAAAGACTTAAATTTACGGAATGTGTTGTGTCTATTATTTATAAAAAATACAAATGCTAATTATAATAATTATATCATGGTTTTTTTATATAAAAATTGTAATTAAATGATACTGAAAATAGAAAAATGCATTAAACAAAAACAATTAATGCGATTGAAATATAATAAAAACGTGTAAATTATAAAAATTTAGAAACCAACGTGAAATTAGTTTATTTTAAATAAAATGAGTTTTAACATTATCTAACAAGAATAAAAATCTCAATACTTTTTATAAATTTATAATATAGTAGATATATTTTATATATTTTTATATCAGAGACGTCAATTTTTATTTATTTCTAAGTATTTCTTGTTTTATAAAATCCATTAGGTAAGCGGAATTTTATCTTAAAATATATTGACTATTTATATAAAAACTGAGCTCGGCTCAAAATCGTTTTTCAAGTGCATTAATTTATCACGGCTTTCAAATAAAGCAATTCGTTCTGGTAGGATCAACCGACTGCATTACCAGTATTTTTTAGGTTTATTTATAGCTGCAAAATAAAATTACCAATAAATTCTTGTCTCCTATAATTGTTTGGAATATCGTCAATGATATATTTTGAAATTCAAGATTTATGTATAATGGACCTGTTAGTAATTATTAATTAATCATCATCCAATAATATTAGTAATATTAATTGAGCAAAAATTGTGCATAATATATGTGTATTTGTAATATTTTTCTTAAAAACAGCCTAATAGATTTCGTCAACATTTCTTATCTAATAGTTTTTTTCTAAAAAATATTAATTAAACAGATCTCATCCTTAGAAAAATTTACAAAAATCTGAAATATTGATATTATTTGATAATTTCAAAAAACATGTTTTTTAAAGAGCACAAAATAATCGGAACGTGTATTTTTAAGTATAAGACGTTGATTTTCAAAGTAATGTTAGTTATGCGTGTTGTAGTGAAAGTCACGGTAATTTAATTTTTTTATTACTCAAGTCTCATTATACAATCTTATATAATCTTTATAGAAAACATTTGTATTTTTGTTTTTATATAGAATTATACACAATGTACAAATTATAAAATAAAACTATATAACTATTTTTGACAACTTGGCACTTAATCATAAATTAATATTCACTATTTCAATAATTGAATTGTAAACTTATTTACCTGCTAAATTATTATATATATAAAATGTTCTAGCTTACATAATATTAATAAAAAATAATATTTATATTTATTTTCATAATCACACTAAACACGCGACATATAAAAGATTGAATTTATTAAAGTATTACACTAGATCTCAATGTACGAGTATATGATATAATATATACATATTATTGTACACGTTTATTTATTTTGGACATACATTTAGCCTTTTCAACCTTTTTCTTGAAAACAGTTATGTATATTATACATATAAAATATTTTTTGATTTTTGAACTATAGTTTCAGTACTAATACAAAGTTTATTAATAATATAGGTACGTAATTATATTTTAAGTTTGATTTAATTTAATGCTTTTAAGTGATTTGAGTTATTTGAAGAACGCATCATCACAGATAAATGTACAGATTTAATGAAGAATTTATCAATATTAAAGAGCCACGTTATTTTGAAACGATTTGCATATTCTCCGACAATTTGCAAAAAAAATTAATTAAGTCGAGTAAACGTTTACGGTCGATATTATAGAAAGTACCTATACATCTAATGATTTAAAGTTGAATTTATACTATTTGCTGCAGCTTAAAATAAACGATAATTTTAGTATACGAGAAGTAAATATAAGTTCCACTATTAAAGAAGTCATAATGTATTAAAGTCGGACAAGAGAATAAATAATAAAACGTTTCTACGAGTAATTAAATATAGGTTAGTAGACATTTCGTCGATTGTGTGTTTGACGTTTGACGTTTGTATTTCAGCTGTTTCTAGTCGTAGTCGTCTTTAAAATAAATGAACAACATTAAGATGTAGACAATAATTTTAGTATTTATTTTAATTATTGAGAATAATGATTAAATTAAATTTTTGTTTTGATTGTCAAAAGTATAGGGCTACTGTACTAAATCTCAGTATAAAATCCATTAAAAAAAAATTGTGAACTTCATAAATACATAAACATCTTTCCGTGTGTTGCGAGGTCGACCAGTTCTTCCGGGTTACCCCGGAGACACTCAGCCCCTTTGTATAACCGCGAGGTTATCTCTTCTGGGCGGTAAACCCGGATGACTCCGGGGGTCCCGCCCAGGGCGCCGCCTCACCTCGGGCGTTATAATGAGTGACCGCCGCGGCCAGGGCCCGACGGATTATCGCCTGAGTCAAACCCCTTCTACTAAGGCGGTACATCCACAGCCACCACGAGTTCTTCCTCAAGTGTGTCCCCGGTGCGGGCGAGCGCACGTCCTCGGTGAGTCCACGCGGTCGTGCGCCTCGGGTCCAACACCCCCGGAGCGTCGAGGCGCTATTAGCAAGCCGACTCGACGGGGCTTACTCCGAGTTCCGTGGTAAAATACATAAACAGTAAAATTGTTTACCAAAATACATATCAGTTAAGTACAGGTTTAAAAAAATACATTAAATAACAATACGAAATAACTGGGTTTATTCTCTATTTCTGATTATAGTTTATATTATAAAATATATAGTTTGTTCATGCTCCTAATCTTATTAGTTATTACTAAACGTAACCAATATTTATGTTATTATAATTTTTAAGTAAAATGTCACATAATGTTATAATAATATAATATTTAGTCATAGATTAAATTTATACTTAGATCAACCCTAAAACTGAAGTATATTATATAGGGCAGAATGTCTACAATATTAGGGGGTGATTGCAAAGTTGCAATATAGTGTCGTGTAATATTAATATTGCATAATGTCATTTTAGGATATTATATTTTTGTATTATACAATATGTTACTTTATTTGTTATGCACATTATAATATTTACCATCCGACTATATTATGTTTTTTTTTTTTTTATCGGATCCTATTAAAAATAGTTTAACTGCAGCATCAGTATTAATTCTTACTTAGTTATCACTTATCTATATAGTAAAATTAAATTAAATTATATTAAAATGCTAAATTAATGCAATATTATTTCTCATAAAAAACTTAAGATTAAATAAACAAAAAATATTTCTTGATTTAAAAAGAAGTCGCATCATGTAATTTATCCATTAAAATTATTTAGATTGGAATAAACTTACAGAGACAGTATTGTTGACAGTGGTATAATCAAATTTTAACCATGTATGCCATATAACGTTTTTATTTTTCGGTAACTTAAAGATTATCCAAATTACTCATTTGCACAGATTCATTAGTTATTTTATTTGTTTATTAAAAGCTATTCAGAATTGATTTAAAAAAAAACACGACTCCGGTTTTTTTTTTTTTTAAAAGGTAGAAATTTTGTAAATAAACTGTAAATAACATATTCATAAATCGTAGGTTTATCCCATATTAAACCGTTTTTCTATATAATATCCTCATTGAGTAGTAGCTATTGTCGATATGGGACCTCTTTTACAATAATTTATATTACTCTGTTATTCTTAAAACTAGTGTAAATCGATTCTTTATGAAATGTGAACGCAAGATTATCATTTAGGTATTTTTGGAGAGTCTTTATAAGATAAATATTCGATTAGATTTTAATATCATTAAATAATAAGTTACGGTCGTTTTAAAACTGTAAACTGTTCGTAAACGTCAAAATTGTCATAACTCGCTTCGAAATAAAATATGAAAAAAAAAAAATACTCAAAGGACAAAGACGACAATAATTTGTGTTGTGTTGGAACCGTAATCAAATAAAAAAAAAATAAAATAAAAATAAAAAATACTCGGAGATGATAATTTTTGTTGTGTTGAAATCGTAATTGAAAGAAAAAAATTTAAAAATAGAATAAAAAATATAACTGCTAACGTAAAATGCGCTATATATGGCGTAATAAAGAGTTTGTACACACACACACACACACACACACAATAAGCAGTCATCGTAGTTATAGTGACAGCTATAATGCTAAGCGTCACGCGACTAGTGTACGCGCGCTTGACTTTGGTGAGATATCTTCCACCCCCCCCCCCCCCCCCCCCCCCCCCCCCCCCCCCCCCCCCATCTCATGCAATTTCAAACAACTGCAATGATATTAATAACCGTGCGTTGCAGATATGCCTGGAATCGTGGCCGACCGTGGAGAGCGGCAACCTGTACTTCGTGCTGGCCAACCTGGTGCTGTGCTACATGCTGCCGCTGACGGTGATCGCGGTGTGCTACATGTTCATCTGGCAGAAGGTGAGCCGGCGGAAGGTGCCGGGCGAGCCGATGCACAACGGCGCCAACATGGTGCAGCGGTCCAAGATGAAGGTGATCACCATGATCATGTACGTGGTGGTGCTGTTCGCGGTGTCGTGGCTGCCGCTGTACGTGGCGTTCACGCTGATCAAGTTCTGGACGCTGCCGCCGGCCGTCGAGAGCTACACGGTGGCCTCGCTTCCGGTCGCCCAGTGGCTGGGCGCCGCCAACTCGTCCATCAACCCGCTGCTGTACGCCATATTCAACCACAGGTTCCGGGACGGTTACCGGGCCCTGTTGTCCGGCAAGATATGCCAAGCGTTCGACTACAGCAACTCGGTGAGGTACCTGCGCGGCGGCGGCCGGGCCGGTACCGCGGCCGCGTTCAAGCGTAACAACAACAACGACTACGACGGCGGCGGTGGCCGCGACCGCAACCGCAAGACCATCGGCGCCATTTATGTGCACGCCGCGCTACACGACGACCGGCGGACTCGGCAGCGGCCACAGCAGCGGCCACAGCAGCAACAGCGACAGGTCCAACAACTGCAACCGCCGCCGACCCACCGGCCGGCCAGGTCTTCGTCGGTCAGGGAAACGCACGTCGCCGCCGAAGGGCCCGCCGGCGGTGGTCCGGTGGTGCAGTTCTGCCCGACGAACGGCGAAAACTCGTTCGTCTGACCCGTTCGCCGCCCACACGCCGCAGCCGTCGGACCGTGCGCAAGACTCGTAGACTGTACCTATAATAACTACAGCTGTGAAATCGTATTGACTTGTTCACGCGGTGTCTTAGACGCAGGGCAAAGGGCTCGAGTGAATTGTTATTTATTATATATTTAATCGTACAGACGGCGACAAAACCGTTGTTCAGACTTGCGCACGAGACAAAAAAAAAATAAATAAATAAATAAAACGCTACACGCTGTGTCTGAAAATCAATCCGTACATAAATTCACCGGAAGTATCGCGATAATAATAGTAGTAATAATTTAACAACGAAACGCGTCAGACGCAAACGATATACGCGTTTAATATGTATTATACTGGTGACTTGTGGGGTTAGGTGAAACGGACGGACAGGACGACCGGAGGAGATTATAGGGACGTTGAAGTTTTTGAGGTGGACACACAAGTTCACCGGAGCGCCAATCCTGCTGTTCATCGGACAAACCTCGGCATTAACGACGTCGCAAATGTTGATATTATTTCAATTCTAACAATATGGCTTATTTTATCGGTTTTCATCCCCTCTAAAACAACTTAATTGATTTTTTTTTATGTAGGTACAGTTATTGTAACGCTTTAGTAAAGGTATTGCTGTAAAAAAGTTTTCAACGAAATTATATAATTTTTGAGTTTTGATATTTTATGTTCATCCGTGAAATCGCGTAGAAATTAGATTCACAGAAATTATTCTTTCTTTCTAAACTTAACCCGTTGAAAGTTATTCAGAAAATTGCTAGCCCATCCTTGGTTTTGTCAACACTACGGTTAAAAGTGTATACTTATAATATTACATAATACGTATTTCTAGTGCTCTCAACAAAATGCAATGATACTATGAAAGCACCGCTTAAGAAATATATGTATCGATAATGTTATTCCCACAAAGGTACCCATATTTATGTATATTAATTTTTTGTAATATTTATTGAAAGAGACGAAAAATGATTATTATAATTTTTATTTCATCATTACAATTGGATTGGATCTCAAAAATATATGTTATACATAATATATCATATTATATACGACATGCGTACAATATTTTTTTTTAAATATTATATTATTTTGCGAACTTTATCAAATAGACATTTCTCTGGAAACGTCCTTATTAATATATTATTATCATAATCATTACCATTATTATAAATTTACAGCAATGCGCGATCGTCCTGAAGTATAACGAACGCACATTCCTAACCTCAAAACTTATTTTGACGCACGAAATATTGACCAAATCAGAATAAATTTCAAATGAAAGTTCTCAACTTTATCACAGTTGAACCTACCTGTATAATAATTAATAATATACTGCACGTTCTTTGAGATACCAGCTGCAATGACTTATCTCGATTATCATTATTTTAAATTATATTGATAGGGAAATAGTATACGAATATGCCGAACGTTCGTCATTATTAATTTCAACATTATACAATTTATTTGATATGTAATTCAATCAAGCACTGATAATATGATTGTTGAACTACTCCTCCAACTGTAAAATAAAAAGACAAAAATAATTAAGACTTTGTAACTGTATGTGGTGTTAACGAAAAACCCTATCATATTTATATACGTACATTTGTCTCTAAACTTAACCACAACATTATATTATGTTATATTTTAATATTATTGCGTTTGATAATTTGAAAAATTATGAAATTAAAAAAAAAAAAATTGCACAGTGATGATTTAAATGAAAACTTGAGCTCTTGTGCAGTCGCTTAGACCATAAACATTATATTTATGTATTTATAAAATATATCATAAAAATATGTATCCCACTGCCTTCGTAGTATTCATTGTTAAATATTATCGTATTATTATTCATTAGTGTTATTTAATTTTATGTTACATATTATTATATAATATCAAAATATACATAAAAATTTACGATCCTGCTCAAATGTATATTCGTATAAATAGTTGAAACGAGATCTCATTGCCAACGTGTATAATGCAATACAAAAAAAAAAAAAAAAAAAATAATAATAATAAATATTGTAAGCAAATTGTAACTTATAAATTGTGATGAATTATTTTGTAAATGTCAATAGTATAGTATCATAATCATCTATCAGTGCGTTTTACCATCGCTCCAGTGGGATACGTTGTATTATATTGTTATAGTATTGTTTTTATCTATAATATTGTTAGGTTTTATTATTTTATTGTTTCATATTATTATTATTATTGACAATGGACTTATGAATCATATCTTAGCGATTGAAATAGTAGTTATAATCAACACTATAACGCGTAAATCGTAAAAATATTAGTGTATGATTTAAATTACAATATCACGCGAATATTAATAATATAAACAGCAATATTAGACAATAATAATAATAATAAAAGTGTATTGTTAATATTATTTTATACGTAATAATTAAATTATATTATATTATTTGAATATACTGCTTACATACACAAGACGCCGCCTTCAGAAGCACATATTTGTATTATATAAAATTATATATTTATATAGATAATAGGTACATCATTATTTTATAAAATAACAGTAACATTATATGATATATATTTATATAAATTATATAGAATGTATAATACACTCGTAAGTACTATACATGTCTATGATACAACATATCTATCATATAACGATATAATATTAGTAGTGTTGACAGACAAACTTTTAAGTATACATTACTATTATTGTTATTATTATTATTAGGGCCAAGATTTAAATTCCCTTGAAACTACCAAGAAATGTTCTAAATAATAACCGAAATGCTCCAAAATATGCGTATAGTTATATCTATAAAAACGATCTGATATATTATTACCAAAGAAAATCAATTTAATATAACGTACTTTAATATTAAAGGTAATTTTATAATTCTAAGATTATATCATTTTAATTTTTTATAAAAAAAAAAAAAAATTTTTAACAGAAATAAATAATAAATTTTACTCAGTTTAAGTATCAAATCGTATCTTAATAATAATATTATAAATATTATAATAACGTGTATTCATGGCTGTTGTAAACATGTAGTGAAAAAACTTAAAAAATAAGCTTTTTGCAACTAACAATTATTTTTTGGTTAGTCTTAAAATATACTTTATTACTGTGAATATTATTAGTAAATTTATAAAAAAAATGTAATTTAAGTATTATTGGCTAAAAACGTTTTTGTTGTATTTAACTTACTAGAAAATTGACGATTTTCCATTCACCAATAAACGTCTTCACCCTATATATTATGTGACATTGTTTTTTTATAATATAATTTTCGTTTTAAATCGGTTACTATTAGTGAAATGCCGACATATATCACTCATACCATAAAATAAAATAATAATAATAACAATAATATGTGTTCCTCGCCTAAATCGTCTCTGTTTAAGTCGTCTAATTTTATCTATAATGACAGTTTTATATGCGGTTTTCTTGCATAATACGTATTTAATACATATAAAAATGATGATGATCTATACCATTTATACCGCCATTTTTGTGTTAATCTACAAATTTATACATATAAACATAAATATTACAATTTAAGTAGAACGTTTGTCCAGAAGGCTGTGTAGATGTAATGTAACGATAATATAATAACATCATTATATTATATTATTCTTATTTCTTATAATATGTATTATGCATATAATAATATTATTATTAAGCGTGTTTTATATTATATATTATTATGTTATTGGACAATAAAATCTAAGTTTATACTGTGTACAACACCAGTTTATAGTGTAACATGTTATTAATATTATTCATCGCCATCGCGTTCTCGTTTATTTTTCCACTTCCACTTCCCTTCTATATTAATAATGTTTTATTTCCACAACTTTTAATTTTTAGATAATATTACAATATTTATAAGTACAATGACAGCTACAACAAATTATTTATCGATTATTCCAATCTATAAACACCACAATGATTTACCAAGCATGTTCATTCTAATGTTTTCATTTTATAACGAATTTATTCAAATTTTAATTTTTAGAATTTTTAAATATTTATTAAAAACTATATTTTAAATTTTTTGTACGTACTACTTAAATAGTACTTAATACTAGTGTCATGTTGCTATACAAATTTCTGTTCTTCAAATGAGAATCACAATTCTTTAGTACTTACAAGTCATGTAATGGATAATTATTTTTAAAATTTCAATGTATCTAATTCAACATTTGAACGAGTGTTATTTCTCTATATCAGGGATGGCAAACCTTTTGAACACTGAGTGCCCAAAATTACATTTTTTTTTTTTTTTTTAAAGCGTGCCATGAAAAAAATTATATTTTGTTATATTATAATTCAATTGTATAATTAATGTATAAAAAGGTTAGTTTAGGTACATAATAATAATTATAATTATATTGATACAGACATATTAAATAATGTTAAATAAAATATAATAACCGCACACGAAATACGAAACACGCACGACACACTCACAAATTGACAGACGTATTTGTACTGATTAGTGTTTACTGAGGTAGGTTTATTACTCTCAATAATATTATAGGTATTATTATTTAGAATAATCGTTAATGACCGATAAAAGCCGTATGCTCAAAATATTTTTACCTATTACCTATAAACTATAATACTATATTATATTATATATTAGTAAAAATTTTCGCGTGCCATCTTGGGCACGCGTGCCATGGATTTGCCATCCCTGCTCTAAATGGTAGAAAAAATAAAATGGCTGAATATGATTGGTTACCTACTCTATATTATATTAAATTGTGTGTGTATCTAACAGTGACGACGGAGATAAAAATAATATGTTTTTCAAAGTGACTAGATTTCCGGCGGACAGTCATCGGTGTGGGTGTGTCACCCGCCTGCAGGTCAAAATTTCTTCAGACGTGAGTAAAAAATATACAACCCTATTGTTATTTTCTCGATGCTAATAATATCATGGCTAAATACTTAGGTATGACAGCAATAATACTAAAATCCGTTCTATAAGCGCATTCATGGAATAATAAATAAATCTTGATTTATTATATGATTATTATATGATAATATGACGTTAGCCTGCAAGGATTTTTATCGGCCAAATCTTAAAACTAGTTACAATTGTGATAAAAGTTCATGCCGGCTGACGTCATGACATGCGTATCACAGAGTTGCTGTCATACCTAAGTATTTAGCCATGGATAATACATAGTTGCGATATATCCATGTCACGTAGTTAATTATATACATACAGATCAGGAGTACTCTATATAATGGGCTTAATTAATATACATTAAAGGATGTGGTTAAATTTAAAAAAAAAAAACAATTAAACGAGTTAAAAAGCTACAATAATAAAACTGGGATTACATTTTCAAATCTATGTTTGTGGGTCAGGTTTGGAATACATTTTTAGAAAATGAATACACAAACTTATTTGAGTAAATAAGTAGAATTGGTATCTGCAGGTGTGGTTATGTACTGCACGATTTTGTTTAGTAGAGATAGTGTGATAAATTTTTTAAAGTTGTCAACATAACTTACCTAGTAAGAGTAATACATCTTATTAATTGGCGTTTCAGTATTTAAAATTAACTTGGATTTAGCTATATATATATAAAATTGAAAATTTTAGTTGTCTATAAATAGCTTAAAAAAGATCAAAATATTTTGAAAATTAAATCATGTAAAGAAAATGTCAATCTAAATAACTGGTAAAATTTTCAAGTATCTACGGCTTATACTTTTTGAATATTAACAAATATTTAAAATCGTTTGAGGATAAATCGTTATTGTACGTTATTTCGTAAAATTTTAAAATTCAAACGCACTTAAAATTTTTTCTATAATAATGCCTCAAGTTTTTACTATAGCTACTTGAAGAAAAACTTAAGGAAAACATAGTTTAGTATTTTTAATTTTTAGTTATAAACACAAAACATTTTATGATTTTTCAATTTCAAAATTAGTTACAAATGTTTGCGTTTTTGATAGATTTCTTAAATATT